TAGAATGAGAATTCTTTTGGGCAGCAAGGCTAAATAAAACTTCATGTAATCCTGAGGCCTGCATATTAGATTGGGAAGTAATTCAACCGCCAGTCGTTCCTCACCTTAGACGAAAAAAAATGAATATATTTCATTTATTTTATTTACTCTAGTTGCTATCAAAGTCCCGATACATACTCACCAAGACTGTGTGATTTGGAAATGCCGCACCAGGCGTATATGAGTACGGGGCAGCAGAGCAAAAATGAGGTAGCGTTTCCTTGCAGGGTCGTAGATGTATCTATGTCAAGGCTCGAGAGACCACCGAATTCAGTGAATCAGGCTTTCGAGTCCGACCGAAGAGTTGCGGAGACGCCGAGCTTGGATCGAGTCCGGGTCACGAGACGGACGAAAGATGCGCCATCTGACTATCTTTTCCCACCTTCTTTTCCCACCTTTTTTTTCCTCACATCTACCAATATATACAAAATAACACTCGACTTCTAGTTAAAGCTCGATTGATAGCCTGGAATCATATCTTTTGAGAAACTACCAATCTATCTGACTCTTTCCCGACACATGTCGATCAGGTATGCATATATTTGTTTATTCGGCCATGCCCCCTCCTCTTCTTGAACCCGCTTACCTATAGGCACATGTGTGTCCTATGTAAGGCAGCCCGACTCGTGGGCCTTCGGGGGGAGTGGGTGTGATTGGGTGTGAATGGGACGGGATGGGACGAAAGCCGCTTGCACATGTGCCGTGGGCCAGTGGGCGAAATCAAGAGCTCTTGTTGGCCCCGCCGCATACTCATTTCAGCGCGGTGGGCTGGGCACACACTTGAGCAAGAGAAAATGCAGGCGCGTGCCCGCCAGCCTGTGGGTGCATGTGTGTGAAAGGAAGGTGGGCTGGGAGGAGGAGGAGTGAAAGCGGCAAGTGGAGGGTAGATTTTTTCACAGACAGTTGGGCTGGCCGCAGCGCAGCGACTGCGTACAGATCGCAAGTGTAACTGGGCCCAAAAGTGGCTGTGGTCGTCAGAGCTGTCAGAACGCTTTCCCATTTGCGTGCATCAATGTTCTTGTGTGTGCTTGTGTGTGCAGAGTCGGGTTGGAGGAGGAGCAAACGTGCTCACAACAGGCAGCCTCGGCCGAGGGGCATCGGGAATAGTCCGTCATCGTCAGGCCGTGGGCCTTAATCCCACGAAAAGCGTCCAAACTGACAGCTGACGAGACGTTCACGTCAGAGCTTAGTGAACTTGTCACCAGGCCAGAAGTTGTCGCCATGTGGATGGCTGACAAAAGGCTGGCATGTCTATCTTTCGTCAGTTGGAATCCTCTGACCATGGCCGCTGAAAGAGATGGCTCGAATGTGTTCCCGTTCGTCTGGTACCGGGGGACAGCAGAAAATGTGCAGGCACCATCCTCGAAATCCGCGCCGATTCGAAGAAGTCTGTTGCACGGCCGAATAGAAGAAATGTGTAGATGGCTTAAGGTGAAGAAGGAGGGATCGTTACATTTCTCACAATGAAATGAATGGGCCTCACGTTTCCACTGAATTTCGCATAGCATCGTCCCACAGGCCGGAGTAGAATGCAGTTTCGACTTCGCCTAGATCTCATCAACCCAGGGAAAAGTCAACTTTCCGTGCTAAACCATCTTAAGATGCCCAAAATGATTCGATATTATCTGAAAACCTAGTTTTTGTGAATATAAATGAGGGGGAGGCCTCACCACGCCATTAGATTGCACTCTGCCTCGCCTCTCCTACCAGCTGTACTGAAGTCTCGGCCTAACTCGGATCAGAATTCGAGACTGGATCGTCGGCGATAAACGTCAACCACATCACTCCGCACAGAGCAATTTTCTCTTTCAACGCAAGCCAGATCTGCATCAATTTGTTGGGGAAACCTTAATGCCTTATAAAAGTGTGATGAGATGTATTCACCCTATTTCGTCTAAGGTGATGAAGGACTGGTAGTAGAATTTTCCCCAATCATATAAGTTGAGCTGACGTTTTCCATTGAA